CACACACTCACACGCATATAAGCTGTCAAGTTGGTTGTGCTCTTTGGCAACTGGGTTAGCTCTCTTTGCTGATATTAAATAAAAGTGGCAAAGAGCTAAATGAAAACGTTTTGGCCTCTTCCTCCATATGCGTGCTATAAATTCTAGATAAAATATACATATATATTCTTTTACGTCTGGGGGGAAATTCATTAAAATTAGACAATTTCAATAGGTGGTTGCCCAGACTGTAGAAAGGAACCGCTGAGAGCAAGTGTGAGAAGTGGAGAGAGAGGCGCAGAGTGAGAGCCCAGAAGTGGAATTTGGAAATGCTTTTGGCATTTCTCAGTTTAGTTTCGAACGTGGCCGTCGACTGACGGACGGCTGAGGCGTTTTCTGCTGTTTTATAAACAGAACATACCGGAAAATCTCTGAAACAACAATAACAACAACAACATCATCAAAATCGTGTAGAGACGGGCGACTGTTGTTAGACATCGGTGTGGAAATTGGGGCAAAATATAGAATGACGCGTGTTTACCGTGCATAAAAATTCACAAAAAATATATTACAAATATAAGAAATGTGTAACAACACGAGTAATTTATAGAATCATATACAACAAACATTTTCAAACCAAATAATTCGTTTCGTGCTGAGTGAAAGATTTATAAATAAAGCAAAAGTATAAACAACAACAAATCCAACACAAGAAATTTTCCATAAAACAAGAAATGCCAATGCGGCAATCAAAATAAATATAAATATATATAGACATATATATTTGATATTTTCAGCAATAAATTCCATAGATCCATGCAAACTGTTTACAGCCATATAGCTGGGAAAGTATTTTGAGTTTTCCTTTGTTTGACTTGAACGCGACAACATCTGTTTAAATGCAGTATTTACTTTGCTTGAGCGCCCTGCTCACGCTGCTGGCCACAGGTTCGCACTTGACCATTCTGTCCCTAGACATACAAATCGAGAATATATGTGTATATATATACATATATCTTTATATATTCAATGCCAACAGCTTACGCCATCAGATGCTACTCATGCGAGTCCGTTTACGAGGCGAACTGCGGCGAGAATTTTGAAATCGAGAATCATTTCAAGTACGATTGCGCCTTCATTGCCCCACCCCGTTTTTTGGAGAACGAGCTGTCCAACAAGAACGCCACGGCCTGCGTGAAGCGCGTTTTTCGCGGTAAGTATTTTCCAACCACGCCGAACCACATCGCATGACCGCAAACTATGAATAAAACTCAAAAGGAAAGAGTGTGCCACTACTTCATAGGTTGACCTAAAAACATGTCCTCCAACAGTTTATTGTGGGCGTTCATTATATCGCTGCCAACTATTTTCTATTTGTATGAAAGCGCTGCTCTATAAATTTATCAATGGGCATATGAAGTATTGTTTCCGATATGTGATCTGATAAAGTGATTATAATAAATATATTTCTGAGATATCAGTTCCGATTTGTTGTTAAGAACATTCAAAATTGGTGCATTTTAAATTCATAAATGAATTATCAATGAACATGAATATATACTGTTTAAACACTTTTATCACTCTATCCAATTTTTTTTTTATAATTATATATATTTAAACAAATATAAATAAGCAGCATTTCAAGTAAACCGAAACTTAATTTAAAATGTAAGAAGCCCAATCTCTAATATCCCATGTAATTGAGTCTTAGCAGGAATAAAACAAAATGAGAAAGATTTTCACTCAGTTCATCCATTCAATCTACTCTCTAAGTAAATGTAATAAGCTTGTCAATTAATGCCAACATAGTGTAAGTAAGTTATTCCACACAAGACACACACCGTTTAGGTTTGTTTATTTAAGCACAGCTCCTAAAAGTATGCCGCAAAACTAGTTTCACTTACCTGTTGTTTGCTTTGTGAACCGCACGCAGAAAATGGCGTCAAGAAGGTCGTCCGGGCCTGCTACTTCGGAGAGGTGAACGAAACGGAGATTGGCTGCAAGCTGGACCCCACGCTGACATCCGTGCAGAATGCCAGCTGCCATGTCTGCAACAATGAGAACTTCTGCAATGGCGCAACTCAGCCCGAGCTGGATGTGTGGAAGCTGCCGGCGCTGGCGCTGTTCATTGTGGCAGCGCAGTGGCTGCGCGCGGGCCAACGGGATGTATGAGGCATATTTGAGACATTAGACATTAAGTTGTTGTTGTGTTGAATGGCAATGGCCAAGAAAGCGAGAAAGCTCTAAAGGCCAGCTAATAAAAGCTAAATTAATGTAGAATAAAGCAAATTTGTTTATTTGTGCGCCGCAATGAACTTAGAAGGCAAACGGCGAGTGCGGCATCAGCAAGGGCACACACACACACAAGCGCACACACAATAGCGCCGTGTTTTTGCTCCAATTCATGTTTCATGTCAACGAACATTTATTTTCGGCTATCAAAATGCCGTTCATACCATTTCCATGTATGTGTGTTTAGGTGTGTGTGTGTGTGTGTGTGGCCAGTACTAGACGCGGTCAGGCAAATGAAAAGCAAATGTGTTATATGGAAAAAAAGACGAGAAAGAAAATAGCGCAAAAAGAATGAATACAAAACTCATCATTCAGAATGCGATTGGCGTTGGCTCAGTCTCGTGTGTGCAGCTCGTCCGGCTGGTTCGGCCATGTGACGCTCCGGCGCGATCAACGGGGCCCAATCTGTGCACTCATTTAACACACCGAAACAAACTATCCATCATCTGTATTCGTACCTGTGCGCGAAACCCACACGCACACACACACACACCCGTGCCCCCGCAAAAACACACAAGCCGTTGGTTATGTTGGGGCATTGGGCGTTGACGCTGGGGCTGCTGCTCGCATCGCTATCGGCCACAGGTGAGCGCATCGAACGTGTCATACATTGTTGACACACATACTAAACACACGCAAAAAAAAGAGAAAAAAATAAAATAAATAAACACGCACACACGTTTCACAGCTCTGGCCGTTAGCTGCTACGAATGCGATTCCGTCAACGATTCGAATTGTGGCGATAATTTCCAGCCAGATGACATTGCCAAAACAGACTGCGATTCCATGGAGCTGCCGGAACATTTGCGTGCTTTCTATTTACAAAGACCCGAAACGGCGTGCCTGACCAAATACTACAATGACGGTGAGTACGAGAATTCTATGGACAATATTCTAGGTAATAGAAGCTAAACAAAAGATGCTGGCAAAGGTTAAAGAGCAGAAGATGTATTAATAGGTGTGCAAACAAAAAATAGTTTAAGTGTAAGAAATATAAGGGATAGGCTAAAAAATCCTAAAATGTATATATGTAAGTCTATATAAAAAGCTGTGGCAGCATAAAGATCCATTCGATTTAGGTATGCATATGCCTAAATTGATTGAAATATTTGAATACCATATATAAGGACAGCTTGAACTGTCATAAATTGCAGTTGGACAGATAGAGATCTGTCATTATTAAACAGGCTCACGAGATATATCAGATGACTCTTCTGGATATTTGGATAAAGTGCTAGAAAGTTGACAAATTTTAAGATCTATATAGTTGAATTGTATGAATTATTAAATAGCCTAGATCTTCATACCCATCCAACTTAAGCAGTCAGAGAGTTTATCGGTATCTAGATTTAGTCTCATTTATAACTGCTCAAAGTGTATGAGATATGTATATGATATATCTTATATGAACAGTCACAGTCATAGTTTAGCAGTTATTTCAATATTTCCAGTTTTAGACTTCTAATAACAATCAGCTATATATAGCTTCAACTGTAATTCTTTCACTCACCTCATTTGGTACATTCAGATTTTTGGCTCGCTATCAAATGTGACGCGCATTTGTAAACTGAAATACTTGATTTCCTTTCTTTTTTTTTTTTGCAATACAAGTGCGCAATAGTTGATTAAAAATTCGCAAATTACATTGGCAAACGGGAAGTGAATGGAGAAATATAATTTAGTTTGTGTTTACTTATTAATAACTTCGTGTCTGAATTTATGTGTGGCTGGTCTTTATGTGTGTTTGCAGCACCTGGTGAAACGCTGTTTGTGCGCCGTTCCTGCATTTTTGGCGATTTATCTGTATGCGACGAAAAGCCGGATCCGGTGATGCCTCACCTCAGCTTCCTGGGCTGTGTGTTCTGCCATAAGGATTTTTGTAATCTGAGCTCGCGTTGCGTACACGCCCACAATTTAGTGCTGGCCGCAATGCTGGCACTAATATACCTATTTAACGTATAATTGCGAATCTCAGAGCAAATTCTTAAAATTAAAAAAAAAAAAAAAAAACAATCGATTTTTGATTTATTTGTTTTGTTTTTTATTGTTTTTCTTTTTATACATCCACTAAAATGATTTAACATACACTTTATATATATATAATAATAATATTTATATATATCATTTTATTTTAAACATGTAATATATAATTGGGCATATTTTTTCCATTTTATTCGTTTAAAACTATATGTGTGTGTAATTGTTTGTAATTCATATAATAAAATAATAATAAAAATAAAAGAAAGAAAAAACAATACGATCTTTAATTCAATTAGCAAACGTCACATATGCATGTATATATCTCTATATATGTAGGTATGTATTATTATTTATTATTATATATTTCAATTTTGCATAATATAACGTCAGTTGAGTTCGTATATATATATATAACACACTTAGATGCCACTATATAATGGTTGGTTATTGTACAATTTAATTCATCGAAACCTAACAACGACTACACATAGAGAACAATTCATATAAATTTATATTTATATATATTTGCATATATATAGAAAAACAATGTGAACAATTGTATGTACAAAATATAATGAATTAGTTGACTGTTTGTTGCCCTTTGCCAAATACTGTTCATATAAATGAGCGCACCCGCAATTGCCTCCATCTCTTAGCCTTAGCCTCAGCCCAACGAGCGTCGCGTCGGAGCATTTCTTGTTGTATGAATAGTCAACCGAGTAAATTAAAAATCTTTTATCAACAGCGCAGAAACAAGTAACAAATATATTTTATACATATTTTTTCTTATTTTTTGAGTTGATCAAACGTTTCAACTAGGCTATTATGGGTATAATGCTGCTTACATACATACACAATATTCCTTCAACAACACAGAGAGTTTTATTAATAAAAACTAAAAATTATAAAATACATATATATTTATATTAGTTTTGTTATATTTTCGTTTATGTCAGCCACAAAAATAAGTTTTAAAAATTTTACTGTCACGCCTTGCCTTTGTGTGTGTGTGTGAGTTGTGTGTTTCGGGTGTTTATTTGGAGTACCAGCTCCGAAATGTGTCTTGAGTCATTTGTTTGTGGAGTTTTGATCTATGCGATCGGAAATTGAGTGGCGCATAGACTTTTTGAGTCGGCGCAGCTACAGCAGCAAAATCGAAACTTGTCTTTGTTTTTGGCATAATTTACATACATGTATATTGTTTTTATTTTTGTTTACATATTTTATATATCATATTTTTTGTATTCGTTGTGATTGTAACAATTCGCTTGAGTAGTGCAAGGAGCAGTCGCTGAAATGGGCGTGCTTAAACGCCTATAAGAAACAAAGCAGAACGAATATTGTGCACAGCATGTTCTCAACAATTTTCTCTTTTCTCTGACTAGAAAAATGGAAAGAAATGATAAAAAGTTGTCGCAATAAAAAGAATAAAATAAAACAATTCAAAACTTGTTGTCTGCAAAAACAAAAACAAAACAAAAATCAAGTATAATTTGAGCAATGCACAAATGGAATGAATCTTAAATAAACATTGAATTTGCTGTAAGCTTTGGATACGGATCATAAATGAGATCAATATGCGACATGTGTGCACACCCCCAACCCCTGCCCAAGCAACCCCATGGCCCACTCTATCTGCCTCCGCCTTGCACGCCCAAGTAGCTCAAGTGTGGCATCTAATCGTAGCTATAGCATGTCTATAAGATTTCTATATAACTATTACACTGCACTGCAAGTTACGTGTTTGCATTTTGCTTTGAATTCATGCGGCGATTTCCAGTTAACATGAGGATTTAACATGGTACACATAGATAGTTATGTAATATGGTAAGAAAATAAAAAAGTTTCCAATGCAATTTACAAAGTATATAATTTATACACATATGTAATAATAATATTAATTAATAACATTTATAACGAATTCAGTCAAGTCAGTAAATTTGGTTTACAGAAAGCAGAAAAAATATTAATAAGAATACAAATTACAATAATCGTGATAATATTAATCAAAAGTGTGCAGACAAATTTAACAAGAAATTTTGATTTGCATTTTTTGTTTTTTGTTTTTTTTTTTTTTTTTTTTAGATTTTCGGTTGCTCTTCATTTAAGGAATATATTTTGTGTGTTGTCTGCTTTTTAAAGTTTTTATATAGAAATAGGTTTACGTTTTACGATTTACATTTAGATATACATATGTATATATAGAAATATATATATTATAATAAAGTTTCTTTTGTTTATGAATAACAACTATCGTATATATGTATATAATTTCAAAGCTTTTGCGTTTTGAAACATTAACTCACAGAGTATTTCCAATATATAATATATAATTTGTTTGTTTTTCATTCCCGCAATGGGTTTTAAACATTTAACATTACAACGACAATGACGACAACGAGTGTTGCCTTTTTTTGTTTTGTTTTAGATACATGTTTATAAATAAACTTTCTTAAATGTTTACACAAATCTTCTTCGTCTGCTTGTGCATCATCATCTTTCTATCTTCTTCTCGGCTTCTGCCTAATATTTCCGCAAAAGCCGGAAGCACAAGCGTTCACGTTTCTTGTGTCTGTGTATCTGTTTGTGTGTGTGTGTGCGTGCGTGAATAGGTGCGGATGAATAGGTCTGAGAGGAGCATAGGTGCGGGTTTCTTTTAACGCTGAGCACTTGAACATCGGCGGGCAATTTGGTTTCGGTTTTGAGTGTTGGGTCCATGCGGCCCTAATGACCTTAAACGCCCACAAAGCCGTACACCTCCAGTACGCGTATCTCGAAGTCGCCCGATGGACAAAGCGGGGGATTGTTGAAGGTCTTGCAGCCGTCCGTCTTGCCAAATCGTATATTCTCGTCCATCCAAATAGCTTGGCCCTCGCTGCAAGCATCAAAGGCAAAAATCAATAATTGTTTTATAATTTCACACAAAATAAAAAAAATAAAATAAAAAAATTAATAAAATGAGATATAATTGTCTGCTTAATTCCAAAACAGAGCTCACTGGCTAATTCAAAAGCAACATATTGTTATAGCTTAACAATCATTTACAGCTCTCTTCTAGAACTTAACATTATATAGCTATATATATAGACTTCAACTCACCCGCCGCCAATTGTTATCATTTTGGAATCGGCTGCCATAAAGAGTTCTGAGCTATGGCCCAAATCGCGGTCGCCCTCGATGCCCACCCAGGGGTATTTGGCACGTTCGGGATACAGAGAGAAGAGGAAGGTTTCGCCGGTGCCAAAGTAGGCCTGTCTCTGGCCCTTGTCATCTTTGACGTTGCGCTCGAACCAGCGCGAGGAGCAGTAGGCGCCAAATACCTGAAAACAAAGTTTAAATTGATTAGAAGAATTAGAAGAGCACAATAATGACATCATAATTACACATTAACTTACTTCATTATTGCACGTTTTGATCATCAGCAGCGTGGGCTCATGCTGCTCGACGCGCACGTAGAAGGTGGTCAGGGAGCAGCCGTGCTCCTCGGTGGTATAGAGCAGCACGGGTTGGTACATGGTGATTCGCACAGGCAGCCAGGACCACAGCGTGAACAGCTGTCAGAAGGAATAACAAAATTCATTAATGAGACATTCAAATTAAGCAAAACAATTTTTTGGGAATTAGCGGAGATATATTACTAGGCAAAAAGTTAGCTACAATTAACTATAAAAAAGGTAGCAATAGCCAATGTTTAAAACAGTTAAAATAATTATGTATACTCTATATAATATGTAAACACACACAAATAACAAAATTAGGCGGGGCGTGTGGCAGATACAGAGAGGTAAACGGGTTGACAGCAAGAGAGCAAGAGCGGCAGCAATTGGGACAGTAACATTTTAACTAAAAGGCCATAAAGAAATAGATAAACTAAAAGCCAAGTTAATACATGAGTTATACAAAACGAAAACAAATGAAATTTCTAATTTAAATACGAAAACGAATACTCTATGTTTTTGCTTGAATTTTCTGTAATTTTTTTTTTATTTGGCCAGCAGCAGCAGCAGCGCATGTGAACTGTATAATATGACTGTCAAACTGTCGGCCTGCCAAACTGCAAAATTAGGTGCGATTGCGATTTGTGTAGGCTCTATAAATGGAGAGGCATGGTTAACCAATACAAGGGACGCGCACACACACACAAACACACAATTAGAGAGAGTGGAAGAAAGTAATAGATAGACAGAGAGAGGGAGATAGAGAGTGTGAAGAAGTGTTTTTGGGATTTAGCACTAAGTGGGGAAGGACTTTTTGTTAAGTTTTCTAATAAAACGGCACAAGTGCAATTGTTTTATATATGTATATATATATTTATTTGGAATGGGAATTCTTTGGATGAATCATTCACGTTTTTCACGTTTTGCTTGGTTTTTTGGTTGTTGGTAAAATGTTGGCTCGTAATAGATAGATGTGCTTACAAATTGTCTATCCGTCCAGGTTTTAATGAAATTCGTTGTGCCCGGTAAACCAAAATGCTATGAAAAAAGATGATATATAGCAATGTCAAGATTAGATGCGATTCGAATTGAATGATCGATTTGCAATTTGACATGGGATACTGTTTTCATTGGGGCGGGGGAGGTGAGGAAACGGGATGCGGGTCCCTTCTGCTGCGAAAGACTGTGAGCGACTTAATTTTAGAGCAAATAAATAGAAAACAAAAACTCAAATCAATTAACTATAATACTTTAATAGAAAATATTGCCAACAGAAAGGGAAAACTCAATCATTGCATACATCATCATCAGAGAGCATGCAGAGTGAACTATTTTTTAAGGGAAGGTGAAGCACTTCGATAAGAAGTGCCGTTGAATTACAGAGTGAGAGAGATAGATACAGAGAGACTTTTGGGTGCAGTTCGATAAGCGTAAACATTCCGTTGTCTTAGGTGTTGTTGTATGTTGATAATCTTGCTTTACAATGTTACTTTAAAAAATAAGAAATTTTATATATTTACGTTGGGATATACTAGCAAAAAAAAGGTTTAGCAAATGGCGTTTTGACTGCTCTCTGGACTTACATCTTCGTTCTTACAGACTTGACTTTTCAGATTGTGTATGGGATAGACACCCATGGCGATAGCTCTATGACCAGGCGACTTTTCGCCCTATACATATGTACATATGTCATACATATATACAATTAAATATATATATATATATTTTTTATTTTTATGCATATGATATATAATGTCAGTTTCGAGAGAAATGAAATTTTTATGTTGATAAAGCGCACGATTTTTTTTTTTTTTTTGTTACATCAGTTTTTTTTTATAAATATTTTTTTTTATATTTAATTTTTTTTTTTTTCATTCAAAGTTTGCCAAGGCAGCGCAAAATACAAGAAAAATAGAAATAACAGTTTTTATATATATATTATATTATTTATAAAGTTGATATATAGAGTGTCAATTTTTGGCATTAAAATTGGGTATGTATTGTGGCTGTTGTTGTTTTTGCTTTTGAATGTGTTTATTTATTATGATTCTTTGGATGGCTTTGGAGTGCAAAGGAAGTGCAAAAAAATAAAAAGTCAAAGAAAAAATTATAAAAATAAAGCAGATATCAAATGCAAATTTGTGTTAAGAAACGGAACGGAAACGGATAAAAAGCTTTAGATATATTATTGTTGTTGCTTTGTGTTTGTGTTGTTGTTAGACTTGTTAGGCTTTGATAAAAAGTCAGAGAAACCGAACTCAAGCACAGTTTTTATTGTAATTAGTTCCTTTTAATCATTTTTTGCCGTAAACATTCATAAAACTGCAGCAAAAGAGGAAAAATTCAGGGAACACAACAAAAAATAATTGACCATTAAAGCGCTAAGTCCTTTAGCCGAAAATCCTCTAGAAATTAATTCGTATTGGATAATCCGCATACGACATTGCTTTTAACAACCAATTAGTTTATAACAAAACGTTAAGAACATTCAATTTTTTGGCAGGTCCTGCGCATGGCTTTATTTTTTTTTATGATTAGCCATAAATAGCTGCAACATGCGAAGGACGCGACTCTTATTTTTTTTTTTTCAGTTAATTATGAAAAACAAAACAAGCAGATTTTAAAACATCAGTCAGCAATATCATCATATAGTATATAGAAATATATGATATACATAATATTTATATATATAAATATATAGAGATAATTTATAGCCCCATACCAAATTGCGACAGCTCTCGGAGTGCAGCTTCTAGTTTTGTTTTTCAATTGGTTTCATTTAAAATATTTTTTTATATATTTGATTTGTTGTTGTTTGTTGTGGATGTTGTTGTTGTTGTGCAAGGTTTGAAAGAACACAAGAACAATAAATTAATAGAGTTTAAATAGAGTTGATTTCTTAAATAATTCATTGGTTAAGTTATAGAAGTGTGTGCGGTGCTCTGTGTGGATAAAGAGTAATCATTTTATATATTTCAACTGAACCTGATCCTAATTTCAACTAAAGACTGAACAAAATTAAGGTTGGGTGGGGTTGTTGTGTGGCTCCAAAGACCCTTGAGAACTGTTAAGTCGAGTTATATATATGGGAGCAAACGTAGTTATATATATATAAATATATATATTTACGTCTCTTTTGCCTGGCTGTTTGTGTGGTTCTGAGTGGCTTCTGGTGGATTCGGGGGGTTTGTGTATGTGCTGTTCTGTTTGAGAGTGCGCTGGACTCGCGTTTACCTACCTCTCGTATGGTCAATGTGTGTGACATCATTTGGATGTTGACCTGCGACTGACTAGTGGGCAGATTATCACTTGAACGCGATTTGATTAATTGCTTCGAGCCGCTATTAAGCGCGGATCGGCTTTTTAGTAGCATTTCAGTCTTGATAAATATTCTAGAAATATACTGGGTACTGTAAAAAGATAGAAGGAGAGAGAACAAATAAGTTAGAAACAGTTTGGACATGACAAAAAGTTTAAGTATCTCTAATAGGATTATTATAAATCACAAAATATTTGACTCATTTACTTTAGTAGACTATATCACTTCATGTTTTAGCATGTTTATATTATATAGCTATAGCTTGAACATTTTAAATGTATTAAGACTTGATTTCGAATTCCCTCCTCTGATTCGGATACCATATTATTATCGCAATTAAGCAAAATCATTCAGAGTATTAAACTTACATATAATATATGAATATGTGCCTATAGGCATATCAAATTAAAACTGACTTAATTGATCTGTAATCTGTAATTTCTTCAGTTGTGATTACATAATGCTCCTATTCTATCTCTATGTCGTCTTCATTTAGCCTAAGTCACTTTACCTGAGTCCCCTAATACTAAAAGCGGCATGGAGCAGCTTCGCCGGCGATACTGGTATCTTTTTGCAGAACTTGATGAGCGCATTGCCAATGTCGTTTTTAATATTATCCGGACTCCATTCGTTGTTCGACTGGCATTCCTTGTGAAAGAGATTGAGTATCACCAGGGCGACGCGATAGAGCACCTTAATGCCCTCATGAAAAAAGCAATCCATAATTCGCACCAAATGCTGAAAGGGTAGACCAGCTAATATCCACCAGCACCAGTCCATGAATACTCGCTCCAGCTTCTGGCCCGGACAGATGCGTTGGAAATACGCAATGGCACTTTTCTATAAATTGCAGAAAATAAAATGAAATTTAATGAAGATAAGTTTTTCTTTTAATTAATAGTAAATTTCATTTTGGACATACTGTGTGCTTTTTGGCTATTTGCATGACTGTCTTCCAGGTGACCTCATGCTGTAGTTTGGTTTGATTGATGAATGTCTTCTCCTTGCTGCCCACAAGTCCGGCCAGGCACAGGTAAGCTTCCTCCTCTGCAAATTAAACCAAATGAGTTTAAATACATTATTCGATAATTACATTCATTTATATTTGTTTCAGAGGTATTACTCGTACGTCACATAATATTGGGGCACTTGCTGGTTGCGTGCAATGCGTTATCAAATTGCACTTGCTTGAATAATTATATGGAACCGAATAACAGACCCAACCTTAGAGACACCCAGCTAGTGCCCACTGCCTGCCGCCTCTATCACTCTCGCCAGACCCCCACACGTACACCACTCCAGCCCCACTCTTGTGGTCGCGTATATGTGCGGCTTGTCTCTAATTTAATTGCACAATTTCGAATTGCAATTTGCACTGCAGCTTCCTGAGGTCGTTCCACAATCCGCGTTCCGCGCTCATCGTCGCACTTGCGGTTGATGAGCTTTGTGTGGTTTTGTGGCGCTGCTGCAGTGAGTCGAGGGCGTTACCGCAATGACGCAGCACAAATCCAATTGAATAGAGCGAATGTTAGGCACACTCACAGCGAGGGAGAGAGAGCAAGAGACTTAACCTTGAAAATACCCTATATATGATACATATTCAAGTCTTCAATTATATTTTTAATTGAATATCACTTGAAGCTTGCACAGCTCACACATAGCAATGCTATGCGAATTTAGTGTAGTACAGCAAAGAAATACTTGAGCTTATCTAATTTCCAATTCGGCATACATTTTAACCCACTGTAGGGTAACTCAGTCTCAGTATATGCAATCACTTGCCAGCTTTTGGCACTTTTAACGCTTTACGTCTGCGGAGCGTAACTCCGGGTCGAGTACTTTGGAGCTCGTTCTGGCAATTGATATTTTTATGGCAATTTTTCTGAAATTGCCACGCAATTTGCTTATTAAATTAGTCATTTTTACGCGCTGCTTCATGTATTTAATTTATAAATTAGCCCGAATTATGCACAAAACTCGCCGCGACGGGGGCAAACTTTGCCCCTAAAAATAACTCTCAGAGATATTCGAGTTATTTATTTAGCCTGTGCTAGCTATATTATTTACTCTCTTATTTCTCTCTTTTGGCGTGTTGCAGGCAAGTTTCGTGTGTGGCTCATTAGCAGCGTTAACTGTTGACAAAACGGATTACAACAAATAATAGCAAAGTACTTAATAGATATTTTGTATGGCATTTAAAATGCAATTGCCAGTGGGTGTTGACGGCCAATTATTGTACACTCGCAGAGGGTATTATAGATTTTTATCATGATATGTCATGGAACGTATCAGATCCGAAGTCATATAATATAGAATTATAAATAAAATAAAATTATGAAAATATATTAAATAAATCTTATGCATAGAAACAGGTCATCTAAGTTGCCATAAGCTTCAGAAATATTTAAAATAAATACATAAATGCAGATACTGCAATCAACTACCAATTATATAAACTTGATATATCAACTAACAAAATTTACTTATTGTACGAAAAATTTCTTTGTTCTCAAACAAATTAAATAATCTATACAATATAATCAGCAGCGAGCCACTTATCATATCTAATTTCTAATGAAAACCGATCAAAAACTTTGTGTTTCTTAAGATATATCCAACAATCACGACTCACTATCGAAATACTTCGGCAACAATTGAGCGGAAACAAAATTTATTATAACAAAGCACACCCAACTTCTATATCTAGAGCATATAATATTCGGCGTCTAGATAGCAGTGATTTCATAATTATCATATTTTTCATTTGTATTTTTTTTATTATTAAGTCCAATTAGCAATTTAAAGGCTTTACATTTTCTTTACTTTTTTTTTTTTTTTTTTTTATTTTTGTTTTTGCAGTGAGTTGTCATTTGAAATATAAATAAACGCCAGTTGCATTGATTTACACATACATAAAGAGCACTTTGTAAACGTGTGTACTCCAGCAGCTCAGCTTTGAACTGTTATCAGTATTGAGCTTATCAGTTGGCTTCGCTGCGGTTCGCATCGGTCTAAGTTGGTTTGATTTAGTTTCAGTCATCGTCCGTAATAGTTAGTTCATTGTTTTGTAATGCTATCAATTGTTTTAACGACTGCAACAGACTGAAAGAAGATACGCAACAGAGTTGTAGGACACGACTTATCTCTGTTAATTATCTGTAACTGTCTGTATATCTCTACGTCTGTATCTCTGAGTTGTGTCTTATCATTTACGGAAACCTAAGAGCAAAATATGATAAGTACAACTTCTCACTGCAGTGTTTATCATTAAATATTTGAGTTTAATTCTATTTAAAGCACAGGGCGCACAGTTGCTTTTGTGTAAATCTGCCAAGAATTTCTTTTTTAAAGCTCAAATGTTGAATTAATCGCGCTCTAATTACTCTGTTCATCTAAAAATAGTTGACAGCTGCCACGGCCACTTATTGTTAAGCTTTTAATTTGACAATAGATTTGCTGCTGGCTGCTTACGAACAGAGGGGATTGGACGAATGGTTTTCCATTTTAATTTTATGACACCAATTCAACCGATAAGCAGCACTAGTATAAAATATAATCGTAATAAAACTCGTTCAAAAAATCGCAGTCCCATTTCACGTTTCCATTTAACGTCAGAGCTCACGTGTTGCGACCAGGAGTGAAACCCGGGTTTGATAGTGGCACTCACTCTTCACTCACTTAATCATATACACAATACGACTTTAATTTTATGGTTATAAACTGTGGAAGCCTTAGAAAAAAACAGAACCCAGCGCAAAAAAAAAATAACATAAACAATGTTTAAATCAAAAAAATAGCGCGTCTCTAAACGTGTAAATAGCATTTAAATGAAAGCCATACAAATAATTTAACATAGTTTTTTTTTTTACTCTAGCAGCTGCTAATTGAGTTGAGCCATGTGGAAATTGCAATGCCCTTTAAAAACAAAAACAATAACATAGAAAAAAAAAAACAGCAGCTGTTGAACTTGAAAAGCGCGAATAAGCTCAAAGTCGCTTTTCATATAAAAATAATTTACAATCTTCATATGTGTAAACATTTTAAAAGGCTTAAGAAACTTAAATTTATTTTTTATTATTAATCGCACGGTATGGGGAATGTCAGATTACAAGGTGTGAAGGCAAACACAATGATCAACAAAATTCTTATTTGTCATAAGGAATATTCTCTGTATTAGAATTTTACATAGGATTTGTTGAACTTTTATAACTATTTATATAGATATATAAATATTTTTATTTATATTTAAAAATAATGATTTAATAATAATATGATTTAATAATATGATAATAATGATTTAATACTAAGCATTCATAAAACCTGTTAAGAGTTCAATCACTTAGCAATATAACACTATATATACTCTATGTGTATATCTATAATATAACTATTCCATGTTTAGTAGAGTTTCTGCCCTTCTAGCATTCAAGTCACGCATCGTTAGAAATATAAGAGAGCTTAAAAGAAACATTGTTTGAGTGCTCTAATCAGAGTCGCAGCACTTGTTCAGGTATTTCGAGAGAGATTTTCGCAAACACTCACACCAATACACAGACGAATACGTGCATATATTAGTGAGCTTTCGCTTCTATGCTGAACCTTCATAAAAATGCAAATGCTAAGCAAAGTCTTAACCCTCAAGCTCTATAAGTTCTTAGTGCGTCAAGTCGAATGATTTGGTTTCTATGTTTTGTATCACAGAGCACGTAATACAAAAGTATTTATAGATCAGGGTGTTAGCTAAGGAGGGGGTGCTCATGTTTCTCCATGTATATGTATATAAAAGCCGTGCAAAAACAAATATGCACAGCTCGGATAATGTTTGGGTAGGGCATAAACAGAACGGCGGAACAACAAACGGCCATAAAACAAAAGCAAGCGCCAAGATGATATATAAAATGTGCGCATTTGTTTGGCTTCGTTGCGTTCGGGATTGAATTTGGGGAATGGAGAGAGAGCGAGAGAGAATCAGCTATATCTCGATGCGAATTCGAATCTGAATGGGTTTGTCAATTGTATTTTATGCGAATTTTATGCTCACGTGCTGGCGTCATTTGCAACAATTTTCGAGGCAAAAAAAAAGACAAAAATAAACAACAATTATAATTCTAGATCTAAGGCAAGCCAAAGCTAACAAAGCTGAGAATATATGTCACATGTCGCAGCCACAGTTGTTATACGATATGAGTAAACTGTAAAAGTTTGCAAAGAAAATAATATAAATAAATAATTTATATTTATTTTTAATTAATTATAGGGTTTAGAAAATTAGAATATTTATAAAATAAAAATAATTTCCAGAATAGAAATATAAACATTAAGCTCTAATAAAAGCTTATTATATTAATATTAATAACAATGTTAAGTGTCGATTGTCACTCATATAGAGTAGCCACTGTAGTGAAAAATTTGTAGTCTTGTGCGGTTGATCTGTTACTTTTATTCCATAATTTGCATAAAATTCAATGAAGACAACGCAGACGACGATTCGTCAATGACGTCAACAAGATGTCGGCAAGTAATGCAAAGTGTCAATATAATCATGATAAACATACATATGTACAGATATACATATAAACTGTGTCTACAAATGTATATAAACATAAATGGGGAGCCAAGTGTAAACGAATGTATTGGGTAGTCTAAAAAGTCTTTTCGTATTTGTAATGAAACTTCAAATCATATTTTTAAATATTTATAATAAACTTTATTAAATCAAATATGCACCATTTTGGTCGACCACCTTTTGCCATTTTTCCACTAGAGACATAATTCCATTCGTGTAAAACTTTCGTGGTTTCTCTTTGAAAAACTGCTTCAAGTGATTTTCACAGGCTTCTCTTGAAGCCAACTTTACTCCGTTAAGGGAGTTCTGCATTGACCGAAATAAATGGTAGTCCGAAGGTGCAAGGTCAGGGCTATATGGTGGATGCATTAAAACTTCCCAGCCAAGCTCTCTCAGTGTTTGCCGGGTCATCAAAGATGTGTGTGGTCTGGCGTTGTCCTGATGGAATACGATGCCCTTTCTGTTGATCAGTTCTGGCCGTTTTTTTCGATTGCTTGCTTCAATCTCATCAGTTGTCCACAGTAAAGTGTCGAATCAATCGTTTGACCAGGCTGAAGCAGCTCATAGTGGATTATTCCTTTCCAATCCCACCAAACACACAGCATTACCTTTCGAGCCGTCAATCCTGGCTTTGCGACCATTTGTTGAGCTTCACCACTCTTGCACCATGATCTTTTTCGCACATTATTGTCGTATTTGATCCATTTTTCGTCTCCTGTTACCATTCTCTTCAGAAATGGTTCGATTTCATTTCGTTTCAGCAAAGAATCGCAAATGTTAATTCTGTCCAATAAATTTTTCACAGACAATTCATGTGGTATCCATACATCGAGCTTTTTTTTTGTAGCCAGCCTTTTCTAAATGGTTCAGAACCGTTTGATGATGAATGTTTAGTTCATTTGCGATGTCATGGCTGCTTATGTGACGGTCTTGGTCAATCCTTTCCATAATTTCATCGACTTTTTCAAAGATTGGTCGACCAGAGCGAGGTGCATCTTTCACATCGAAATTTCCTGAACGGAAGCGTGCGAACCATTGTTGTGCTACACGAACTGATAGAGCATCGTCACCGTAAACATCACAAATTTCATTAGTGGCTTGCGTGGCATTCTTCCCTTTTTTATACAAAAATTTCAAAATATAGCGAATTTCTTCTTTATTTTCACTCATTTTTGAACAGCTGTAACTTTTTTCAAATTCTTTGAATTACATTTTTTTTTTTTTGGCAATCGAAGCTTAAAGTGCTACCAATCGAACACCACAATGTGTACACAATGTGATTGGTAGCACTGGAGATATACGACGCCAACGACATCTATTGGCAAAATACGAAAAAACTTTTTAGACTACCCAATATATCAACATCTTGAACAGTTTTATACATTGTTTATATGAGACTTTTGAGCTTGAAATGCACAAAGTGCTGATTGAAATGCAACTCAAAATTTTATTATTATTTCTGCTTGCTGCTTTTTCTTCTTTTTGTTAATACTATTATTGAGAATTATTATTTTTTTAAGCTTCTGCTTTGCGATCTTTCGAATTGTATTTTGACTTTTAAAATATAAATCCCACTTTTTTGTTTGCGTTTCAACAAGAACCTTTGTACCCTAAACGTGGGGCTGCAAACTATTAATAGTGTTTACCTTGGATTTGACCCGGAATCGCAGTCCCCAGACATTGCAGTGAATTTTGTTTTATATTCGCAGTGTAAACAAACCTTCAAAACTCGGAAACGTAGACAGGCAAACTAAGCGAGGGAGAGACATATGTCGTAAAGCATAGAGCGCTGTCGTCTCTTCAAGTCGACCTCTTTCCATGCCGCTTGCTGCTGGCTGCCGGTGAGCTTATCAGCCGCAGCTTTATCAGCTGCAGTGGGGCCTACGCCTGCCTATGTGCCTCCCGATTTACGTCGCATATTAATCGTAAGCGAAGACCCTTGCCCCTTCCTGCCGATGTTGGGTGCATTTAGCGTGCCGATAGGTACAATTCCCAAGATAATCCGTATTCTAAATAGAGTGCGGCACACTCTTGAACCCAGATGAAAATCGATTAATTGTCTTGTTTTCCTTTTTTTTTTTTCCACAGTGAATGAGGGTGTTTAGAGTTCAGCAGCTGAGATTAATGAGATTACAAGAGCTGATCATATATGAAAATATTAAAAGTTTACACAGTATCGAGGCCACGGGGCTGTCATTTCTAATCTCAGGCAGGTGATCGCTGCATGTGAGATGCGCCAATCTAGAGCGAAACAGCTTCAAATGTTGACAATAACAATAAACCTCAATCAAAGGAGGTCATCATAAAAAGTCCATAGGATAGGAACAAATCAGTATTAATCTTCGTTTCCACCATCATCATCTCTTTCAATCACGTTTTTCCCAAAATAAATCCATCATAAAACATATAAATTAAAAAATCTAATAGAAATATGTTTACATCAATAAATATGCTGAAACTCTATCAAATAAAGTTATTTCTCATATTTAAATCATAAGCTATTAATTTAAACAACAAATTATTATTATAACAAAATATTCATTATAGAAGAAAATACATTATATGCTATAAATAAATTCGCATTGAAATGCTTTGCTCATAAACATTTATTAATTTACGACAAAACTGTTATAAATTTTTTTTTAACATAACATATAATAAAAAACAAATCCAATTGATTCTGGTTGGTATTAAGCGGTTAGAGCAATCTCTGCCCACTCCTTACCAAAATAAAAAAATATTGAGTTAATAGATTTTTTTTTGTATATATACTCTGATCTTGATCCTTGATCTCTTGTACAAAACTTTTAACTAAGTTGGCTTTGGATAATCAGGACATGAACTAGAACTACTAAAAAAGTCTTGAGTTATATAAAGTTCTTCAAACATAGGGAAAAACAAATGTTCAATCTATCAACTGACTGACTTAGATAATGGCTATGTTATGATCACGATTAAGTTATTTTTAATGAACATACTCAAGGTGTAATACCATAATAACCCGTTCTTTTGTCCATTATTATCAATCAAAAATTTTGCACATAATTGGAAAGTTCTGTATAATATATACACTTCAATTATAACTTAGATTAGTCTAGAAATAATCAAAACTAAAAACAAGTTATTTTTATCCATGTCAGGGAATCTGAACAAACTTTCGATTATTTGACAGCAAGTTTGCTCTGTGTGTGCTGTAAAGCATGTTCATTCGACTTGGCTGTTGATTCTGAACGAGCATTTGTGGCATTGTCCTTCTATCTATTTCATACATATCTGATGCAAACACACAATAAAGGAATAACTAATTCGTAATGTAAATATTGACATAGTCTATTCAGCAATACAGGAAACACTGATAAAAGCAGAGCACAAAGCCAAGCAACGAATACAATAAGCCCTAAAGGTCACACATGCTTAATGTCAGGCAACAATAAACAAGTAAATATATAAACACACACACGTATATATTTAGAATATATATATATATATATATATATATACACTTTGATTTCACATGCTTGAAGGGTCAAGATGAGAAGTGTCTTATTGATTTGAGTGTATTTGAGATGGTTAAATCTGTTGGCTCAGTGCCTGATTGCCTGCCTGACTGCCTGCCTGCCTTTCCGCCTGCCTGTTGACCAAAGCAATTAGCTAGAAATATCACGATACATCAATTTGCGCCGAGCCGCGAGTTACTTCGAGCAGCGATTTACAATTGTGCCAATTACTCGTGTATATTTTGTTTGTTAAAGCAACCTCAAAAGCAACAACAGCAAATTCAAATGATGACAAAAACAAATATTTAACACAGCGCATGAAATAAGACTGCTGCGCCCCAAGTGCGTCTAGCGTGTGTAATATATGTAAAACGAATTACAATTCAGATTTCGTTTTCTGTCACGTGAAGTGAACTCAACTGAACTGAACTGAAGTGAAGTGAAGTGAAGTGAAATGAGATAGTGGATAGGCACTTACCCGACATGAAATGCAAAAGTAACGATGTAATTGGATACAATACTGGACTGTAGGTAATGTCGGGACAATCATAGCCCAAAACGTTCACAATGCGATCGGCAACAGCGCGTCCCGTGCTGGTTAAATGATACGGCAAACAGTGTGTGGCATCCACAAATGCGGGCAGCATGATGGGCTTCTCCGACAGCTCCGTGGTGCCAAAGACCTGTTCGATAGACAATAAATATAAATAATTATATCGTAGTTTAGTGTAATATTGCTTTAGGCTTACCTGATGCACCATCTCCCAGTAGAAGCCATCTAGCATATTCTGCTTGGTCAAGTGCTGGGCACATAATGCTGGCCACAATTGTGAGCGTATCGGTGAATTTATGGGCCACGAGTTCTCTCTGAGTATATTCTTAACATCGCGCTTCTTGTTCTGCTGCAGCAGCTGTTGGATTTCGGTGAAAGAGCGTAGCGCCGGCTCTTTGCCTGGAAGACAAAAACAAACACAACAAACGTTTAGTACAAGTCAATAGAATAGTACTTAGGATAGGTCGTGCACTACGTTTGTGTCTAACAATAAATTAACTTAAAAACAAATGTTTCCAAAGAACTGATAAGGGATACACCAGGTAATACCCTAAAATATTTGTATATTAAATTTTACGATTGTAAATAAATTAAATTTATAATTTTCTTTTTTTGTATATTAAAATAAATTGAGAATACATAAATTACTTTGGAAAATGATTACATTTTATTATTATGGCTATTAAACATTTATATATTTAATTTCTTCAGACATTTTTTCTCGATTGTTCCGTAATCTTATCTGACTTATCTCAAAGTAGTGGTTATTATATAAATCAATTTTCTAAATGCTATTTTTATCAGTAGCTGGTAATTACAAATTGAAACTTATACAGATTAGATGAAACAATCATTTTTTTGTCAGTGATTAAAAAATTTATGCCAAAGCTTGACCTATATTTGAATATATTATTATATACACAATGTTATATATAATAAAACAATAAATATGGGTACGCAGACATATAGCTAAAGCTAAGCGTCTTCTATATATATTATACCCTACTAATTAGTTTAATTATAGCTTTGCATCATAGGGTATACAATTGATTATTCAAAATGCTGCATCGTATTGTTAATCATGCCACAGCGCAGCTAAATATAACTTTTTATATAAACAGTATATATTTTACGATATAAACCCCTGTTGGTCAGCTCAAGTGTCGGCTGATAAGTTGGTCAGTTGCAGCTGCCGTTTAGCTAGTCCCACTTAAGACCCTATGCGACATTTATGATTGATAAGGAATTAAGTCTCAGCTCCGCCAAACACGCTTGCCCCAAGCGGTTACCCAGTCCAACCAATTGAGCTTGCAGCTGGAGGCCGCATGAACTGAAGTATAGAAAAAATATTGTAGAAAAAAAGCCGACTTGAGCTGCAGATAAGTACGTAAATTTGTCAGCAAGAACGCAAAATAAAAAAAATTACTCATACGTCAGAGGGGCAAATAAAATACTTGAGTTTGCAATTAATTTTAGTGTGTATGTGTGAGAGGGTGTGTGTGTGTGTGTGCGCGCATATATGTGTTTATTGCAGTATGTGATAAGCTTTAGATGCTTGTTCTACATACATAAAGTTAGTTGATTTTAAATGCCCGCTGGGGCGCTGGGACTTATAATTAAAATTAAATTGAAATGATAGCAAAAATGCAACATTATTATATATATTTGTACACATTTATATATATTCCATTCTAACTACTTTTAGCACTGGTAGATAACTTGCATTTGGAGAGAATACTTTAAAGTAAATAAATTATTATATTGAAAGTCGAAGTTGAGACTTTGATTAATATTAATGCCACATTAGATACGCTGTTTAAACTTCAATATTCAATATAACTTTGTTTTGCATTACAAATGTAATATAATTTAAATTTAATTTGTATCAGTATTTTTAGCAAAATAGTTAATTACGTATATAGTTTCAGCGAGCAATTAAATATTGAAATTGAATGCAGTTGAAAGAGGCAAATGCATTGATTCAATAAGAAATTAAACAACAATCTCGTTTATTTGATGACCTCATTCAGGTTGAATTTTAGACCTTTTAGGGCCAATACAAATTTTAATTGAATTGCATAACCTTCTAGATTGTTCAAATTAGAACCACAGGATGAACATATTAAGAATATTTATAATGAATCACATTGAAATCGCTAACAAAATTAAAGCCTTATTGTCAAATCACATACATAGTTTTAATTTAGTAACACTTGACCTATTAACCAGAAACATAAAAATAAAATACTATATTTAATCTAAAATATTTACTATTCGTCAACGATATTATTTATATTATTTCGCTAGTAGTTTCTATTCCAATTATATTTTTCACACCCGTCCACAACATAATCCGATACAAGTATGACAAACTGTTAGATCGATTGTTTGTCAGAGCTGTGAAGTATTTTGTGCTTAACTACGTAATTGAAAAACTTTATCGCTGGTCAGCTGGTTACTCAAGGAGGATCGCAATAGCCACAAGACACGCCATTGGGGCAAAACACTAGAGTTGGGTGCAGCTATACGAAATAGAGCTGCTATATTGATTAGGTATCGGAGTCTCTGGGTAATTGATTGCGCATTGGCTACAAGACCCATTACCAGCTCGGCCGACAGCTGATCGATTTTTGCATGACAGTTGCTCGTCTGCTTATCACCAGCGTTTGCTTTATTTGCTATTTGTTATTATTGCCGTTGTTGTTGTTGTTGTTGTTGTTGTTGTTGTTGTTGTTGTTGTTGCCGTTGTCGTTGTTAGTGGACTCAGGTTCCTGGCGTTGTTGGCGCTGATAAGCGCTCGACTCAGCGCCAGTCATTGGGTAAATTTGATCATTTTAACGAATTACAACAGATACAACAGATTACAATCAGTTCTTCTTTTTTTTGTTAGTGTTTTCATACGTCATATACCCATTGAAAATCATGATGAAGATAGAGTATACGGGTTATCGATTATATCTTAATACTTGTCCTGTGAGAAGCTAGTAGAATCACGATTCATTTAAACAATCAATAATTCGATAAATATAATTTTAACCTTGGCTTGCTGCGGTTAGATATATGCAATACAGCCATTTTAAAAACTTTATATAGTTTATTCTTGTTAATTATAGGGTATTTATAAATTCACTGATAACATGACTTGTTTTATTGCGTCTCTTTTTTTTTTAATTTGTATATCATTTAACCAAAATTGTTGTGGGTCTCTGCTGCATATATAAGATCACGCGAGAATGATATTGATATAGATCGGTGAAGGCTTTGGGGGTTGGTGGGGGTATATGGAGAGGATGTTGTAAATGCAATAACAATAAAAACTGGTATAATTGACTGAGGCTCGTTTGCATTTGTGGTGTGTGTATGTTATTGTGGGGGTTAAGCGTGTGTAATTAATCTCCGCACATTTGCATTTGACTTGCATTCACAATATGAAAATGTTTTGAGAAAAACTCAAACACACACACACGCTCACATAAGCATTTCTAATTCAATAAATTGTCGATTGCGACATCAATTTCATTCACTTGGAATTTTAAATAGTTATTAGCAATTGTAATTTTCAATCGTAGCTTAAATGAAAAATCAGTGAAATATATACATACTAAGCACTGCATAATCAGCTGCTGCTTAGTAGTAAAAAAAAAAAAATAATAATAATAATAAACAAAAAACAAAAACATTAACAAATTCGCAAGCTAAATTTGAGTGTAAACGGCATCAGTTTTATAGACAATAAACATGGCGCAGTAAAAAAAATTATAAAAACGTGTATAAAGCTTTTATGAACTTAAATGCAGAAAATTAAATAAGTTAAAGAATATAAAAAAAAATAACAATTTCTTATTAAATAAATTAATAAATAAGAACCAAAAATATGTAGATTTTTTTATTTAATAATTTAATTCATTATACAAGTTTTAACGAAAATATTATATTCATGTAAAGCAAAATTGACAAAAGTCTGTAAAAACCTTTTTTTTTAACAATATATATTTGTATATATAAGAGCAGAATTTGAAAATTTTATTAAATATATAGTAATAGTTATTTAAAATTTTTTATTGTTTTTCAGAGCTTTTTTTAATTTTTACGCTCTAATACACTTGAATAATTTTACTCCCAAAATCTTCACCTAAAAACAAGTTTTTGCCATTTGAATCAGTTTAATGCTTGCAGTTAAAATGGATTCAAAACACGATAAGTGAACAGTCAACATTTCAGATTGTCACAAACTCTTCCAAATAAAATCAATAAAAACTGACATTTTGTTGCCCTTCCCCCAACAGTTTCAGTAAAACTCTTAAATTTTTTTTTAAACAACTCAGTGTTTACACTGGAAATTAGTTAAGTTTATTAGCATTTGTTGTTGTCGCTATTTGTTTTTTTTAACGTTCGGAATCTCTGTATATGATAGAAGGAGGGGAGTTTTATTACCTGGACTGAACTGCCAGCACTGACATTTGGTCGTTATATCATTCGAGCTGGCCGCTATAAACAGGGGCAGCTCAAAGAACTTTTCGCACTCGGGATCAACGTAGATGCTGCTGCGGCGACTGCTGAACTGTTCCAACTCACGTATGCCCAAAACTTTGCCAACCATTTTGTAGTTGTCGTCGTCGTCGTTGTTGTTGTTTTTGTTGTTCTACTTCTTCCTCTGAGCTTTAATTTTTTCGCTTTTTGGTTTATTTTGCTTACTTTGGCACCGAGTATTTTATTTTGGTGTATTTTGTTTTATTTTATATGTTATTTTGTTTCTGTCACAGCCACAACAAATACATTTATGTAGATTTCTGTTGCTTATTCTGTGTATTTAAATTTATATATATTATATTTGTGCCGCTTGTTTTTATTGTTTCTTTTTTTTCTTCTTTAATTTATTGCGCTCTGTAATTCGCTTGCTTCGTTTATTCGTCGTGCGAGCGCGGCGCAGCACTTGAATTTAATTAGCAGCACATTCAAATTTATCAATTCACATTTTATTTCATTTCAATTTTGTTCATCGTTTCTTTCTTAATTTTAATAATTTTGCATTAAATTTGTTTTTTATTAAAGATTATTTATTTATTTTTTTGATTGTTTCTGTAATATTCCTCGGCCTGCACACGGGTTGAATAACAACATTAAAAAAGGGTTTCAATCGGTTCGATCGTGAATACAAAATGGAATCGAACTCAAATCGAGAAAATTTGAAATTCCGTAGGCCTACGTGCGACGCCTTTGAATGCGTTCAATGTTCTCATCGGCGGGCCGGTTTCTTGCGGTGAATGAAACCGAAAGCTCAACCCAAATGGGGTGGCCAGAGCCAGAGCGCAAGAGGGAGAGAGCGAGAATGAGAGAGCACTCACAGCCGGCCAGCCAATGCGAGAATATGTATATGTATATGTGTGTGCGTGAGTGGG